CAGGTCCTATAGCTCAGATACTTTTATTAGGATCTGGAATGGTGTTCACCTCCCTGACCACCCACTAAGAGCCACAGTGCCCCATCTAACCACACACCCCGTCTCCAGGGCACAGAACAGCGATGACAGACACGGAGATGCCTAGGGAACTCTGCAGGCGCACCCCATTCCTTCCAAGAACCAGAGAACCCAAGGAAGCTGGTGCTAACATTAATCCCGCTGTGCAGAGGAAGAAGCTGAGGCCCAGAAAGTTCCCAAAGCTAGTAAGACACAGGATTATCAGTAAAATAGGGAAATGGCCCAGGTCACTGAGCAAATGAGAGGCAGAGAATAGATGCCCCAGGGGCGAATGCGGGAGCAGCAAGGGGAGGGCAATGCCAAGGTCCCCTGGTAGCACTAGGTGGGGTCTTCAGAGTGGGGTCTAAAGCCGTCCAGAATCAGACCCCTGTGAGTCTTGCTAAAAATGCAGATTCCTAGGCACCGGTCTGCCCCACCACACTAGAGTCCGGTGGGGAGGCCCTGGAATCTGCATTTATTACAGGCGTGTGTATGTGACAGTGGGGGGGGCGGGGTCGGAGGACTTGCGTTCTGTGCTGCCATCCAGGTGGCCGTGCCCTCTGTGTATGGGGGGCCAGGGGAGAAGGGGCCTAGGGCAAGCCAAGCCCCAGGCAACTCTGAAGGGGGCTCTCTGTCCCCTCTGGGGCCCACCCTATAGCCCGGGGCCACCCGGGCTGGGAGCGCAGCCTCACCTGGGCTGGTCCAGCCAGAAGGTGGGCGGGATGCCAAGCTCAGAACCAGCCAGGAGTGTCTGATGGATGCGGCGCCTCCTTCCAGAGGCCATTAATCATCCGAAGAAACTCCCTGTCAGTCCCCCTGTTCCCACTGCCTCCACCCATGCACAAGCCCCACACGCAGACACGCAGACACGCAGACCACCACACATGCCCGCGCACACACGCAGATGCACAGCACACTGCCGTCTGCATCCGCCACACATGCAAGAGCACGCCACCCACGGTACCCAGGCTGTGCACGCACACGCACACGTCGGCACAGATTTCAGACACCACACGCTGATCCCGCGCAACACCCTGTACGTTCACGCTGTACTTAGCATGAGCACACACACATACACGCGTGCACACGGCGGTCAAGCCCGTTCCCACCCTGTGGGGAGACAAGACAGGGCCCCAGAGCTGTTACAAACACCCCCAAAGGCCACACCGCCCCGTGCAGCCTCCACTCCAGGGCCCCAGCCAGGTTCCAGCCCCACGGTCCCTTGCTCGGGGCTGCAAGGCTGTCAGCCTTGTACCTCTCAGGCTTCTCATGCCCATCTGAAGCTTTGGCTGGTGGGCAGGGTGATTAATAAAAAATGAGGAAATGAATTACTGATGGGCTGATAAACATGGTTTGGCAGACACCTTGCCTTTGCGAGCAGGGAGGGTGGTCATGGTGAGGATTCTTCGGGGCGGGAAGGCTGGGTGGGACTGTCCTTCCCCGCGCATTTCACCGATGAGAACAAGCGCCGGGTAGCGACCCATCCAGAGCCAGCAGCCCCCGAGAGACCTCCGGGACCACAGCGCAGAGATCCCCACCCCTGCCCACCCACCCACCGCCCTCTCTGACCCAGAAGCCCAGCTGTGTGTGTCTGGCCTGGGCTCATGTGCCTTACACAACAGGAACCCCAGAGCCGTTCATTCATTCATCCGCTCCTACCGAAAAGGACACAAACACAGGGCTGAGATCCTGAAGATGCAACCAGGGTGGAGAGAAGCTGTCTTCAGCGGAGCACTTGGGCCTCCAGGAGGAGGTGACACTTGAGTGCTGGATGAAAAAGAGCCGGTGCCCAGGACAGAGGGGGCAAGGGGCTGTGGCAGCAGGACCCCTCCCTGCTCCAGAGCCCAGGAAGAAGCACCATGTGAGGATCTGTCCATTTGGCTCCCACACCCACATCCTAAGCAGGTCAAGGCACCAGGAGGCAGTCCTGTCCCTCTTTGCTCCCAATTCTGGCCACACCCTGAGCCCCGATCCACCCACCCACCTGAGGGCGTCCGATGGGGTAGTCTGGGTCCTTCCCCCCACAGCCCCCATCCATCCCGGGCCGAAGCTTGAGGCCTGAGGGGAGCAGAATGTATAGAACATTTCCATTCAGATACGAGGCCTGGTTTTCTCGAAGCGTGCCCCCGGGAAGCGCCTCGTGGCCAGGGCCTCTCATTGGGCTCTGCGTGTTCTTTAGCATCCAGAAGGCCACTCCCAAGGACGAAGTCAGGGAAAGCACTTGGCCCAGTCTGGCCTTGGGGTGACAAGCATGTGCCTTCCAAGGGATGTAGCAAAGGCCAACGCCTTCTCCACGGCCTGCCTGCCAAAAAGCCTCACTGTTTTCCGTCTCCCACGCCCAACTGCGGGGAAGCAAATCTGGCTGGGCCCAGGCCCCACGAGCCTGACGCCCCTTAACCAAGGCAGAGGGTCTGCCAAGCGTGGGCACTGGCAGCCCTCAGAGAAGAGGCACCGAGCGACACCCACCAGCTGTCGGCACCGGGGTTCCCTGGAGGCCAGGACCATGGTGACTCTCCATTTGCTTTTTGCAAGTTTTTCTCGACCTTCGAAGTTTTCAGGCATCATTTTGTGCTGGGGGAGCAGGGAGTGTTACAAAAGACACTCACGGGAGGAAGGAATGGAAATGGCCTTGACACAGAAGCGAAACTGTCAAGGTTTGGATGGGCTTTGGGACCTCGGCCGGCAGCTCTTGCAAGGAAGACCCCGCATAGCCATCACACTGCTCACGCAGGCAGCTCCACACAGACGGCCCCTGAGGAAGGCAGAGAAAGGGGCTACATCCAGCCAGTCACCCCTCTGTCCCACCCGTGTGACCAGCGACTGGTCCATCCATCCATCTAAGCATCCATCTGCCTGACCCTCCACACACTCAACCATGCATGCATCCATCCGCCTGTCCGTCTGTTCTCTTCCCATCTTTCTGTCCTTCCACCCACTCATCTGTAGGCTGCACCTTTTTCACTTTACCTAACCAGCATCTGTCCCTCCCCAACCCCGCGGGGCTGTCAATCAGCACACTCCCTTTCTCTCCGTAGGGGTGGGCAGGTGTACCGGGCTGAGCCAATCAGGGTCTTCTCTGGGACATTAGCTAGGGAACTGTTCTTCTCCCCACTCTGGAGTCACTAGATGTCAGCCTCGAACTGCTTGCTGGTGGCAGTCTCTGACAGCCTTGTGAAGAGAACCTGCCAACAAGGGAATCCCACCCAGGAAAAAGCAGAGCTGAGGATGGAGAAAGGCAGAGGCCGGGCGGCATCCGATGAACCTGGGACCCACGGGGCCTGAAGGCAGCATCACCCTCAGTCAGTTCAATAATGCCCCTTCTTGCTAGCGTGCGCTGGAGTTGGGCTTGTCACTTAAGGATAGAAAGGGCCAGGGGTCACACAAGCCCTTCTCATATGGCATCCAGTGATTTAGAACCTTCTAGATGCTCATCCCTGAGTCAGATGAGGATAGCCTATAGACAAACAAGCCTTGCCCTTCCTGCCAGAGGCTGACCCCCCAGCTGGACAGGCAGTTCTACAACAAAGCCACACAGCTCAGACACTAGGACAGCACGGGATCAAAAGGGGACAGACAAGACCCCTATCACTAAGCCTCAGTTCCCCTATCTATGAAATGGAGACAGCATCCCTATCGTGCAGGGCTGCTCGAAGATCAGTGATGGAGTAAGCCATGTGAGCTGCCCACCCACCAGCCATTCCTACCCCCTTCTTTTTTGATGGCACAGCCTACCCCCCATGAAGTCTGAAAAGGTCAGAGACTCCTATTCCCAGCACCCCTGCAATTACAGTTGCGCAGATGACCAGGCCTGGACAAGTGGACTCAAGTTGGCTGAAATCTTCTGGGAAACACTCTTCCCCAAAAGAGAAAAGAGCGAGAGAGCCCCCTTCCTCTTCCCATCCTGCTTCTGGATATTATCATGTGAGAACGTGATGCTTGGAGCTATGGCAGCCAGCTTGCAACCATGAGGAAAGGGTCAAGAGAATCATGCTTGGATTTACCTGAAGGAAAGGGTCATCTCTTGTACACTTGGGGCTGGGAGCTGGGGTTTACACTCTCATTACTGGTTGTGGGAGGTGGTCTTATGAAGCAGATAAAAGAAGTGATTTCTGGAACCAGTCTTTTCGGGTTCAAATCTGAGCTCTACTACTTGCTGGCTGTGTGACCTCAGGCAAGTTACTTGACCTCTCTGTGCTTCCATTTTCTCCTCTATAAAAATGGGAATACTTTGGAGTGTTAAATAATTTAGTACAGCTCGAAAACCTCTAGCACGGTGCTCAGTACAAAGAAAGTGCCCAACAGACATGAGGTGTAATTAGCCATCACAGTCAGAAAATGTAGGGGCCCGGGGTGGGGGGTAGGCTGGGACCGGGGGAAGCCGGGCAGGCGCAGAGGCCCAGCCCGCGGGAGCCGAACAGGAGCCGTGAGTCTGCTCCCGGCCTTGGCACCGCGGCGGCTGCGCTGACTTGCTCTGCGCTCCCCCTGCCAAGGCCGGAGCAGCTGGCTCCAGGCTGCCGATGACGCAGCCCGCCCGCTGGCTGTGCCGCCCTCGCCCACCGACAGCCAGGCTGGCGGCCCGCGAGGTGGGCGTCCTATCGGCCCAGGGGGCGGGGTGGGGGGGACTCGGCCACCGGTCCAGAGGTGCCCCCCCCACCTCCCTGCAGGCAGCCCTCCCTGACTCCCCGCCAGCGAGCTTCACCTTCGGGGGAGAGAGCCGTGTCTCTCGGCCCCTCCCGCCACAGCCGAGTGTGAAAGCAATTCCACTTGGCAGCCTCGCAACAGTGAGTCAAAAACAGTTGTCTGGCTTGTCGGATGCCCAGGCCCTGCACAGCTCAGAGCAGGCTGCTGGGCTGGGGGCCACGTAACTCTCTCGGGCGTGTTCTCTCCAGCGAGGGCCGAACGCCCCAGGCTCAGGGTGTGTGTGTGTTGTGGGGGGGTGGGGGGGCCAGGGTGCTTTGCAGCAGGGTAAACTGAGGGAGAAGGAGGCTCACATCTTTCTGCACCATCTCCTCTTCTGCTATCTGCTCCTCTGGGCTCAAGAACATGTTACTGCTGACCGCCCTCTGCTACCGAAAGTGGATCTGACATGACTGAGCTTCCCTCCCTCTCTGCTGGCTCTATGTGGGTCTCTCGGGGTTGGGACACTGTAAGGATGGAGGATGCTAGGCACGGCCTGCAGGCAGGGACTTGGACGTTTACACACAACGCTTCCTCGCCTCTCCATGACGACCCCAGACGCGGGCACTGTCGCTCCCCCCCATCTTACAGGTGAGCACACTGAGGCTCAGCGCGTGTGAGTACCTTCCCCGAGTCACACAGCAAGTTCATGGACAGGCAGGAATTCAAACCCAGGCTTGGCTGACCTTAAAGCCAGGGCATTCACTGCACTGACTCAGCATTCACAGAAGCTTCTGGACGCAGGGCTTTGTCCTCCCCCTCCTGCACACTGCTGCCCAAGAACAGTGTTTATAACCCTCCCCTGCTCAGCAACCTTCCATGGCTCCCCAGCACCCACAGGAAAAAAATAAACCAAACCCTTTGCAGAGCCCTCCCCACCCCTGACTCCTGACATCAGCCCTGGAACCCACTGACTCTTCACCAGAGCCAAGCAAAGGGCTCCTTGAGAGCCTGGACTGCACACTGTCTCCTCCAACAGGCCGGCCTACACCCACCGCAGGGCCTTTGTGCAGTGCCCTTCTCTGCCCACCTGCCACCTCCTGGCCCCCCCGCGGCAGCACCCCCATCACGCCCTCTCGTGTGCGGATCTCTCCGCCGCTCCTCACTGCCCAGCATGATCCTTTCTTTGTGCTGAGCTCTGTTTAATGTGTGAGGCCTCTGACTAGCCGGTGTGCCTTCGAGGGCAGGGCCACGCCTGTCCTGTTTACAGCTGCGCCCCCGTGCCAGCATGTGGCCAGGGTTTGGGGACTGCTGAGTGAAGAAGTGTGTGAATGAGTTCGCATCTCCCGGGGCTCAGGCAGGGCCAACACAGATCCCGAGTCCTGGCTGGCCTGAAAGGAACCTCCCCTGGGCCCAACCACCCCCATTCTGGCCCCAGCCTCTCAGATCCCGTGCGCTACCCTCCCAGACCTGCCCCAACCGTGTAGACTTCCCCAACCATGCCCATACACTCGTGTTCCCCGCCCCCAACCCAGCCAACTCCTGCACATCCCTCAAGAGCCCCTGCAAGTACTGCGTCCTTTGCTGGGCAGAGCCGATCACACCCCCTCTGACACCCTGTGGCGTGGACACACCCACTGTGAGGTCCACACGGGCTTGCCTTCACGGACCGCGGCGCCCGCACCCAGCAGGTGCTTGCCACGCCACAAGAGAGCCACCTCCTCTGCGTTCCTTCCCGGCGTGCAGGCCTCCCCGACGGGACTGGAGCGCTGATGGCAGGGGCTGTTTTACTCACTGGTAAGTCCTCAGTGGATGGATGGATGGATGGATGGATGGATGGATGGATGGATGGACCAACAGATGGGCAGATGGGCAGATAGGTGGATGAACAGAAAGGAAGGAAAAATGGATGAATGGATGGATGGATGGATGGATGGATGGATGGATGGATGGATGGATGGATGAAGGACTCAGGTAAGACAGATCTATAAATGGCTGGAAGAAGGAAGGAAAGGCAGACAGATGGACGATGGATGCATGCAAGCATGGATGATGGAAGGAGAAATGGATGGATGCGTGGGCGAAAAATGGATGGAGGGAGCCAGAGAGGGAGGACGGAAGGGTAGACGAGCAGGCAGGCAGGCAACTGGGTAAGGAGAATGAGCACTGCCCGTGTTACTTACTCCTTCACGGGTCCCCCCCTCGGCTTTCTGATCAGATGAAGAACCCCACAGAGGAGTCTCCCCCACCCTCACTGCCAAGGGCTGCCGCTGCTCTAAGCAGAGGGAAGGGGTGGTATCTTCTTAGCGCTCCGTCCACACAAACCCCCACGTCCCTCCCACTGGGGGCATCAGGACCAGCCCCACAGACAGTGTGGTGAGGCTGCGTACCGACTCATTTCCTAGCAGGGGACACTCACAGAGCCCTTGCTACATACAGAGGCCCCTCCTTGGAGATTCCAGACAGCCTGAACTCCAAAACAGTGCCAGGCAGCAGACTGTTCCCTCACCTTATCAAGAGGGAAACTGAGGCCCAAAGATGGTTACCCAGAGTCACACAGGTGCAGGTGGCTGAGCCAGGATTCGAACCCAGGCAGCATGGCTCCAGAGCCCACATGCTTGGCCCCTCGGCTGCCCGTGGGCCCCAGGCTTGGTCGCCATGTCCCACCTGCCCGCTCCCTGGCATTTCCACTCTCCTCGTTCCTCGTCTTAATCCTACATAGGATTTCTTACTTCATGGTTTCCCTTCAATCAACTTACCTTCTTTGCTTAAATAAATTTGAAATGTATATGACGACCACAAAAGGAAAATCGGTATTAAGTAACATAAATAGAAGGTGACCCTAAAAACCCATACCATGAAAATGAAACAGTGCCGTTCAGTTTTAGCCAAGTACTAATCCCAAAGAAGGCTCTGGGCCTGAGGCCTACTCTTATTAAAAAAAGAGAGATCAGCGAGTGTGGTAGTTTTAAAAAATACGTCCACAGATGCTCCGACACGCTTCACTCGGTGAAGAGGTGGAGCCCTTGAGTATGGGCCAGACTTAGTGATTCACTACCAATGAGGAGAAGAGGGCGGGAGTCACAGCGTGTGGCTTCTGAGACCACGTCATTACAGGCAAAGAGCTTCCTCCTGGTTCTCTCCTAGATCACTCACTCTGCAAAGCCAGCTGCTCAGCAGAGAGCCCCCCGTGGCAAGGCACTGAGCCCTCTTGCCACCAGCGAGCACTGGACCGAGGCCTCCAGCCACCGGTGTGAGGGAGCCATCTTGGCAGCTGGTCCTCCAGCCTCAGTGGAGCCTTCGGCTGAGACCACAGCCCCAGGCACCTCCCTGATTACAGTCTCAATGGAGACCTGGAGCCAGAATCACCCAGCCGAGCCACTCCCCACAGAGACTGTGAGACAAGAACTCTTTGTTGTTTGAAGCTGCAACATTCTGGGGTGTTTTGTTACACCGCGTGCGAGAGATAACTCACATAGCCAGTGAGAGAGAGGCATGTGAGATGGCAATTCCAAACCGAGACCTTCTTTCAAGTAGTCGGGAGGATGAAAACGCAACTGGAAGGGTAAGAAGTGAGCCCTGACAGGACTCAATGTACTCTTTGCTATTGTGAATATTATTAATTACGGTGCCTCTCCCGTCTGCTCCCCACCAAGCCGCCAGAGGGAGGGGGCTGCGTGAATCAGCTCATATCTTCCTGGGGAGCTTCCCCAAGAGATGCCCTTCCCACTCAGAGTGAACACCCAGCGCTCCACGTCCTCCAGCCCCTACTGACCACTCAGACCCCACCACCCCTGCCCCGCTCTCCCTCCTCCCTGCTCCTCATCCATTCCAGCCACACGGCCTCCTGCTTTGCCCACAAAACCCCAAACTCATTCCCACCTCTTCTGGGCTTCTGCACTGACAGTCCTTCTGGTCCCCTCTAACAGGACCCGCTCCTCCCTGCTCTGGCCCTCACTCCATTCAGCGCTTTGCTCGGAGGCCCCCTGACCACAGTATCTCCCAGTCAGTCCCCACGAGGCCCTGTTCCCTGCTTCCGACCCTCACTGGCTTCACGGCTACTCACAGCACTGACCTCCACGTGACACCACGGTGCATACTTACTCCCTCGTCACTGCCTGCTGCTCTGCAGAAGGGAATCTCGACTGGGGCTGGGCTGGGTCCATGTGGCTCGCAGCTCCCCCTCCCCTACTCAGAGCAGGGCCCGCACATAGTAGGTGCTCAGTGAGCCTCTGCGGAATGAATGCTAAAGCCTCCCCATCCTGCCATATCATGTGGCATCCAGGAAACCAGGGAGTCAGACTCGAACTGAACGAAGTTCTAAACCCGACCTGGAACAGACCACGCTAATTTGTAGAGCCTCGAGCTAAACCCAAATATAAAAATGCTTCTCGGCTGCCAACCAGACCGAGGATTTTTTTTTTTTTAATGAGTTTGGCTCCAGAAATCTCTCCTCTATGTTCCTAAACCTCATCTTCCCTCGCTTCTCCCCTTCTCCCTGTTCTCCATGCTCGATGCCATCACCAGCACAGAGATTCCTCCCAGGGCTCTCTGCTCCTTTGTTCTCCCCACGGCATCGAAGGGTGCCTCCCCCCAACCCGATGCAGGAACCTCGGTGGGGGCCCCACCTCCGCCAGCCTTTGAGAGGTGCCAGGCGTTGCCCTGGGAAGCTGAGGGAAGGAGGTCTTAGCTCCAGAACATCTTAACAATGGTCCTGAGAATGGGTACAGGGTTTCCATCAGGGATGATGAGAAAGTTCTAGAATGAAATGGGCATGGCCCTGAGGGTTGCATAACAGCATGGAGGTACTTAACACCACTGGACTATACCCTGGAAAATGGTTACAGTGGTAAATTTTACATTGCGTTTGTTTAATGTTCATTTTTTTACACAACAAAAAAAGTGTTAAAAAAAAAATGGTGCTGGCCCCATTTGGCATCATCAAGTTCAGGAGTCCGAAGAACTTAAAACTGACAGTGATGCTAAGTTTGAAGACATTTTTCTGCATTTCTCTGAGATAGAACAGATAGCTTTGATTCCTGCCTGGCCGGCAAACCGACTTCTTCCTACGACAACGAAGAAAACAATCAAAATCAACCTGGTAACAGTGCCCACTGAAACATCCCACAAACGTGCTTCTGTGGTGGACGGTATACAGCTTAACATTTTTTATTTTCCTCTTTCGTATGCAAAATTAAAATAGAGAGAGAAGAAGAAATGTCACTGTAAGCACGGAGCCCGGGGGTGAATCCGGTGAATCTGGTGAGTCCACCGGCCGGGAAGGCGCGCTGAGCCGGAGGGGCCGCCCCCAGGAAGGAGACCAGTGAGACAGAAAATAAATAAACAAAAGCTTCCCAACTTCGGACAGAGGGTTTGCAACGCGGACGGTCCTCCGTCGGCAGGCCACGCGGCGAGCCTCAGATGTATTTGTAATTGGGCCACGGTTTTCGGCTTCCCGGCTACATGTGTGTTTGAGGAGGTGCTCGACTTGGTCACAACGTCCAAGCTGCCTGATCTGACAGCCGTTGGCGCATGGCTACTGGAAGGGGGAGCCAGCTGTTTGGAAAAATAGGTCTAACTGCCGCCCCCCCCCCCCCCCCCGGCCAACCAGCAACGTCTTTCCCGGATCTAAAGCTGCCCGTGGGCCAGTTTCAACCACTGAGGGTGTCCTGGAGAGCGTCGAACCCCCCATCGTGCGCCTCCAGCTCCACCTGTGGTCCTGCCAGCCACTTGGCCAATTCACTGGCAGACAGGGCCAGCCCGGAGTTGGGGAGTCCTGCTCTGGCCCCCACTCAGGGGCTGGGCGCGGCAGACTGAGGTTCTGGACCAATCTGGCCCCGAGCGTCCGACGGAGGAAGAGGCTGGGGCCTCCACCCTGAAGTGCCTGAGGCTGCTGCACCTGGGGCCTCAGGCGGGGCAGGGGGGCAATGGAGGGCCGGGCAGGTGCCTGCCAGCAGGGGTGCAGCTCCGAGGAAGGGAGCTGTGGACCCGGACTGCTGTCCTCTCCCCTCTCCCAGGCACCCCCAGGAGACCCGTGGCTGCCCCGTGGCCTGGTGGGCATAGGCCTCCCCCGCCCTCCCTGAGGCTGGCCCAGCCAGACAGGGGTGACCCTGGGGGAGAAGGGCCGGGCCAGCAGCTGAGTCAGCTCCCGCCAGGTCAAGCAGAGAGCTGACCTCCCCACCCAGAGGCGGGAAAACGCCCGTCTCCAACCAGGGCCTGCCCAGCCCAGGCAAGGAGCCCGAGTGCCATCAGCAGCCCCTGCAACGGTCCCAGGAGGCTGGACGCCATGCCCCCCGCCCCCACCCGCCTGCAAGGCGCTCCTCTCTGGACTTGCGTTAGTTACAGCGCTGGCTGCTATTTTAAATCCCCGGCTTGTTTAGGAAGCCCCGGCAGAGAGGGCTGAGCAGGCTGAGCCCGAGGGGATGCGGGCTAGGGGGCAGCCCCGGCTGGGGGTCTGGGGCCTGCTGCCATTTGAACAGGGACCAATTAATCCCTGCGGGGGCGTGGGGCATGTGGCTCGCCCTGTACAGAAGCTGTGTGTGTGTGTGTGTGTGTGTGTCGGGGGCGGGGTGGGGGGCGTTCAGTAGCCTGCAGCTGACCTCCCCAGCAAACGAGCCACAGAGTGGGCTCCTCGTGGGTGACCAGGCTCCGCCCCTCCCCCCCAGCAGGGACAGCTGCAGGCTGCCCCGGCCTCCCCTGGCCTCCCCTGGCCTCCCTGCCTAAAGCAGGGGCTGAGCCACTTGACCTTGGAGGGCTGGTCTACTCCAGGATTTTACGGTTGGGGGCCTGGTTTTCCCAGCCACCGTGTCTCAGAGCGAGGACAGCCCAGAGGACGTGGAGTGGCCACAAAGGCTTGGCTGTTCTCCCATGTGCCTCGCTGGGCTGGGGAGGAGAGAGGGGGGCTGCAGTGGGGGCACAGGCGGGGTGGGGGCGGGGCGGGAGGAGGCTGGAAGGAGCCAGGGAGCAGGGAGGACGTTTTGGGAAGACTTCCTGAGGAAAGGGGTGGGGAGAGACCCAGAGACACAGAGAGAGACACGGAAGCACAGAGAGACGTGGAGAGACAGAGACCGAGAGACACATACTGAGAGAGGAACAGAAGGGAGAGAGACACCCAGAGACAGAGACAAAGAGAACGGGAGAAGGCGCACAGCGCGGCCACGGGAGAAGGCGCGAGAAGGCCGACATGTGTGTGGTGAGGCTGAAGTTCAAAAAGGAGGGGAAGAGGTGGTTTGACGACCAAAGTCATTGAAAAATTTTTGGCTCAGCTGCCCCGAGGCTCCTGGCTGCGGGCCCGGCTCCGCGCTGAACTTAAACAAACCCCTGCAGCAGCCATCTGCTTGGTTTTAAAATAAATCCAACAGTCTGCTGAGCCGGGTGATCGAGTTTCCATCTGTGCCTCCGCTCGCTCGCCGGCCTGGAGCCGCGCTTGCCTCTCCCAGCCAAGCCTCCTGGCAACATGTGGGCCGGTAATTCCTCCAGGAGCAGGGGAAACCGGACCCCCGCCCGCCCGGGCCTAACTGAAACCGAGTGCTATTTTTACAGCCACCCACGGCAGAGGGAGGACCGAAGCGCGCTCTGAACACCCAGGCACGGGGCTGTGCTGAGCGGCTTCGGCCCACGGGGTCCCCCCCTCTGCCCTGAGAGAAAGGGCTGAGGGGCCGAGCAGGGGGTGCTGGGCCCCCAGGGACAGGATGATGCTCCCGCGTCTGGGCAGCTGCGGCTTCCTGGGGGTGGCGCCCGCCCGGGGCCCACCGGGAGCAGCCCAAAATAGCAGCGGGGACTCCCCCCCCTTCCCTCAGGCTGGGGTCACCCTGGAAAGTGCTGCCCATCTGTCCCTAAGTCCAGGAGACCAGGGGAGCCTGCCTTCCCCAGCCCAGGCCGGAAACAAAGAAGGAGAAACACCAGCCCAGCAGGGTTCAGTGACCCCATCTGCGCAATGGGCATAAAGCAGCCCTCCTGGTGGTGTCGGGGGAGCAAAGATGGGGGCCCACGATCCTGGAGCTGCAGCTGGCACATGGGGCCTTTATACGCGATTTTAGGAAACACAGAAAGGAGAGAAAGGACCACAGGAAAAGGGTCAGGGTCCCCCACCCTACTCTGAAGGACAGGATCCGAGATGGTGAACGGGGCCCTGGCTGCCAGCTAAGCAGGCTGGGGTCTCTGTCCCCAGCCAGATGCCTCCATTCCACAATCAGACTGCCCTCTGATCCTGCCAGAGGTTCCCTGGTGCCGGCAGGGAGGTGTGTGGGTGAGGAGGGACCCCAATCTTACTCACTCCTCAACACATGAACCATGGCAGGCCAGGACGGGGAGTCCACAGGCCTAGACCCAGGGCCACCTCTCCCACAGTGTGTGGCTTTGGGCAAGTTGTGCTCCCTCTGAGCCTGGGATCCCCCTGTCCCCTCCCCTCCATCAAAACAGGGGGCGGCAGCGGAGTGGATGGCTTGGGGACCACAGCCGTTCCGAGGGATGGCCAGGCTTCTGCACCCGCAAGCTTCCCCTGGACTGCCTCGCCAATGCTTCTCTCCTCAGCCCCCAATGCAGCCCAGAAATGAAGACAAGCGGGTTCCGACAGGCACAGCACGCCCTCCTTGTCAGGTACACTCTCGGCTTCCCACCTCCCCCCACCCCATCCTCTCCAGGCGCAGGCTCTGTGGACCGCCGCTGGTCCAAGTGTCCTGCCACACTTCATACCCTCCTGGCCACCTGTGCGGTCGGAGTCTCCTCTCCCCCATTTTCCGGGTGGGGAAACTGAGGCAGAGAACGGTCGAGTCAATTGCTCAAAGGTTACCCCAGGATAACAACGGTGCAGACCTAGCCCCCTCTAATGCCACACTATCAACCATCCTGCCCCCCTGCCTTCTCCACGGGCGGGTGGTCCTCTCTCCGCCCCCCCAGGCCAGCTCTGGCTGCTCGTCAACCCAATCAGCCTTTGTCGAGACCCACACAAAGGTCAGGCACACGGCTTCCCATAGGCCACCCCGCTCATTCCCCAAGAACACCCAAAGAAGGGATGCTGCAAACCCACTTTGCAGCTGGGGACACTGCAGTCCAGTACGTGGCCCAGAGCCAGACGGGCAGCAAGGGGCAGGGCGGGGACGTGAGCAGTGGGCACTCTGGCCTGGGCTGCGCCGGCTCAGTGCCCCTACTCGCCCCCTGCCCCCAGAAGCCAGGCCTGGGCCGGGAGGGGAGGGCGCATGCAGGGAGGGAAGGGGCCACAGGGGCTGCCCTCCTCCCCCTGCCGCACCCCTGCCCTTCCTGTCCTCCCCCCACGGCCCCCGACATCCCCCTCATGCATTCAACAAACAGACCGCGCACCTACTGCGTGCTGCCCCAAGGCCAGCCCCACCGAGGCCCCAAGGCTGCAGGAAAGACGCTCCCATCTCTGGCAGCAGGTGCAGTAAGAGGGAGCATGCCAGCGCCGGGGGCGGGGGGCAAGGGCAAGGTCCAACAGGAGCGTGCACTGCTGTCCCACATGCTGGGGGCTTGAACGACAGAAACCCGTTCCCTCGGTTTGGAGAGGTCGGAGATCCCGCTCCTTCCGCAGGCTCTGGGGTGGATCCTCCCTGCCTCTTCTAGCTCCTGGCGTGCCCTGGCTGGCCGTGGCATCACCACACCCCCGCCACCGTCCTCACGTGGCCCTGTGTGTGCACGTGTCTCCCTCTTCCTGCAGGGACAGTGGCTGGGGGACTCAGGGCCATCCTACGCCAGGGCGGCCTCCTCGGTACTCGACCGTGTCCGCAGAGGCCTTCTTCCCAAATAAGGCCACGCTCACGGGTTCGGTGGACGTGAACCTCGGGGGACCCTTCAGCCCAGGATAGTCCGATTCCCTGCAGTGCGGCCACCTGGGCACATCTCCCCGGGAGAAGAGAAGCCGCCTCTGTGGAGACGGGCCCAGCAGGCATTCCACTCACCGAACCCAATACTTGGATGATGTCAATCTTTTTTTCCGTCTCTGGACTCCAAACAGCCAGACCCTATTATGGGATATTATGTACCCAGAGGAAGGGCGCCAGTGCCGGCCCCCAGCCTGGCAAGAGACGCCCTAGGATGGCCTCCGCCTCGCTTAGCAGCGCTCGCTCGCTCGCTCGTGGAACCAGTCACAGAAAATCTCTGTGGGGACGACCAAGGCCTCCGTTCCCACACCACTGACTCAGCGCATCTGTCAGCAGCCTGCCCGACCTCTACCCTCAGGGCCTGTGAGTCTGAGCTGCCTGCAGGCGCCGGCCCCCTGCCCCCGGCCCAGGGCCTCCTCCGAGGCTCCCGGCTCCCGTGAGAACGGCAGCGCCGCGTCTGAGCCCGGAGGACGGCCTTCAAGGTCGCCCCCGCAAGCGTGCCGCTGGGAGTGGGAGCCCAGGCTGCGCCGGCCTGGCTGACTGGGGCACTCGGGGCTACCAGGACGCTTCCGGACAGGTGCTGTTCAAGGACGAACACGCACAAAGTGCACAGACAGGTTCTCCGCGCGGCTGTCTATTTATCTGAGAGAGAGAGAGAGCGAGCACGCGAGGGAGGGCAGACGGAAAAGGAGAGAGACCGCCAAGCAGACTCCCCACTGAGCGTGGAGCGTGAAATCAAGAGCCGGGCGCTTAACGGACTGAGCCGCCCAGGCATCCCGCCCCCCGGCCCCCCAGCCCCGGCTCATCTTATTAAATGTGAGGGAGGCAGTTCTCCCGCTTCCGAGCTGCACTCCCATGTCCTGCTACCACCATCTGTGAAATGGGGTGGCAACGGCTGCAGCCGGTGTGCACGCCCTCTGTGGGCGGCCCCTTCTTACCCCACGTGGAGCTGGTACTACCATCAAGCCTGGCGAGACCAGGGGTGGCACAGGGCAGCGAGGATGCAAGCGTCCGAAGCAGACGCTCTGGCCTCTGGTATCGAGGACCCAAGAGGCAGGCGTGGGGTGGCTTGTCCAAGGCCTCACAGCTCCCATGAGCTGGAGCCGGGTGCTGGCCCAGGCCTCTGCCCAGCCCCCTTGCTGCCCCCTGGGGCAGAGCATCTCAGGCACTGCCTCCTTCCCAGCAGCTAATGGGACCTGCGGACTCTGGGGGCTCATGGCAACGGGGAGCCCGAAGGCTCTGTGCCCCACGGCGCCAGGGTCGCTTGAAACACAACCTGTTGAATGGCTTCCATTTGGTGGAGGATGCCTGACAGGAGCTGAACTATGTCCCCCAAATTCCTATGGTGAATTCCTAACCCCCAACACCTCCAAATGTGATCCTATTTGGAAACAGGGCCTTCAAAGAGGTGCTGAAGTTAAAATGAGGCCATTAGGGTAGGCCCTGATCCATCGTGACTGCGGTCCTTCTAAGCCGTTGGGACACAGATACGGAGGGAGGACTGTGTGAGGACACGGGGAGAAGGTGGCGCCTGCAGGCCCAGGAGAGAGGCCTCAGGGCACAGCAGCCCTGCCCACGGCGGGGGCTTGTACCTCCAGCCTCCAGCAGTGCAAGAAAGATGCATCTCAGCTGTCGAAGCCCCCAGCCTGGGGCGCGGTTCAGGCCGTCCCTGAGAACTAGCCAGCCACCCCAAAGACAGCCGTGAGGGCACCCACCTCGTCACAGGGTGACAGCTGAAGATGCTCAGCAGCATATGAACAGGGGACGTCTGGGTTTTATTACCTTACTGTTGGACATTTAGAATATTCCCCCCCCCAATAAATAACGGTTAGGCGTCCCACTCTTGGTTTCAGCTCAGGTCATGATCTCACGGTGGTGAGATCGAGTCCCACATCGACCTCTGCACTGAGCATGGAGTCTGTCTGAGATTCTGCCCCTCCCCCTGCTCACATTCTCTCTCTCTAAAATAAATAAAATCTTAAAAAGAAAAAAAAAAGATGAGCCAGTGACAGGAGTAAAGTGTCTCAGGGAGAGAGTGGGCCCCATCACCTCCCGAACGCAGCCACATCAGCTTTCCAAACTCTCCTCCAGCCGGAACGTACGCAACACGCTTCCTCACAGGGGTAACGGAGACACGTATGCGGCTTTAGGATCCGCTGCTCTGTCATCCGCTTGAGGGCATTGGCGACTCTGTCCCCGAGTGAGCTCCACGGTGGTCAGTCCGAGCCACACCACGTTCCACGCAAGGGACACACGGCATTCTTCTTACCCATACCGGGCTGCTGGACGTTTAGAATTCCCCCCACGATGATAACAGTGCAAAGAGCATCCTTGTATTTCCATCCTTACAAGTTACTTCTTTGGATGCGTTTTCAGAAACGGGATGGTGGGTCCCACAGAGGCGTGTCTGTTAAGCCCTTGTTAGATACTAACAAACGGTTTGGGGGAAAGTGGTATGATTCAGATTCGTGCCGCCACTAGCAACAGGAATGAGCCTTAGTTAAGCAACATCATCAGCACTGGGTCTTACTGCTTTTCCAGGATTTTAATAGTTTTCACGTATATATTTTCCTATATACTTATTACTTGTGTTCTTTTTCATTTGAACTACTTGTCCAAACTCCCTCCCAACTTTTTTTTTTTTTTTTAATATAGCTAAACCCTGGAAGGGAGAAAGTTCAGAACTAGCCTCTGGTGGCCGACAGGTTCAGGACACCAATGGGTCACTTTTTGTGCCTGGTGCCTGATCCGTGGCAAGGGATAGGCTCTCCCCAGGGCCTTCCCAGCCTCAGCTGCTTCTACCGCTAGGGCAGGCCCTGCAGGCAACGTCTGGGCCGCCTGCCTGGGGCCCCTCATCCCCGCCTCAGGTCACGTGCTCTGGCTGTGCCCATGTGGCTCAGATATAGGGTTGCAGAATGTGGGCCAAGCAGCTGCAGGGACACCGCTTTGCCTTGCGTGACCTGTGGGCTGGCCCTGGAGAAGCAGGTGCTGCTGAAGCTGATTCTGGGACTCTGGGTTACTCCGGAGGCCATCTTCCTAATTTGGGGCATGTGAAGGTACCGGGGGAGAGGATGGGAGGGGGCAAATGCCAAGGGGAATGCATATGCCCTCCGGAGACCAAGAGAAAGGCAGAAAAAGCCAGGAACAGCAGATAGAATCTGGGCTTCCGTCACACTCAGAGTAACTGGGTGGGGGCGGAAGGCAGAGAAGCCAGGTGGCAAGCCACGGGCGGTTCAAAACGAGGACACTGGTGGTCTGGGCTCAAATCCTGATGCTGCCCTGACCAGCTCCAATGCCGTGGGCGGGTGTCCTCCCCCCTCGGGTCAAAGTTTCCTTATCTGTAAAATGGGATCATAGTGCCTATTAGGCAGGGCGGTCGTCAGAGGGAACAGGGCCCATCTGTGTGCAGCTCAGCAGGCCCGGGCCACAGTCCGTGCTCAGAAAACACAGACACACGGCAAGCCCAGAGCCCACCCTGCTCTTCTACAGCAGGCTCCAGCAAGCTGCAACCCACCCACCAGCTGAGCCAAGAACAGTTCTCACGTTTTTAAGGGAGTATTTGTTAAACAGGTAAGTAAAGAAAGGAAGAAGAATATGGGGCAGAAACCCAGAGACTGGCCCACAGAGCCGAAAACATTTACCATCTGGTCTTTTAAGAAGCAGCTTGCCGACTCCTGGTCTGGAGGCCCCCAAGTTTCCCGCGGAATTGTTTGAAAGGGGACAGGTGGCGTGTGGGGTGAGGACTCAGAGGAGTGAGTAGGGAAGACAGCAAGAAGTCAGCGTGCAAGCTAGGGCTGCCTCGAAGGACCTGTGTGCTCAGAGGTGCCGGGCCCGGGAGTAGGCACCTGCTTGGGTCTTCACGGTGGGACCGGCCAGAGGAAGGTGCTGTTGCCCACCCCCCTCCCCGGTGTGCATGGGAGCCTCTGCTGAGATGCTGCAGAACGAGGCCCCAGCCACGGGGTGTGGCCCCTCACCACTGGAGCTCAAGAACCCAGATCTGGAGGGAACACTGACATGTCGTGGGGTTGGACCCCAGGGAAACAGAGGCAAGACAGCATGATTCACCCAAAGTGCTGGCCAGTCAAGAATGAGAACCCAGGGGTCCCAACTCCCCAGCTGATACTCCATACTGCACATGGACTCTGGGGCGGGTCCCCACGGACGTGGGGAGCCGGAAACCTCCTGAATGTCCTGTGTCCCCAGCAACCCTAGTCAGACCCCCACCCACGGGGAGACTCCAGCCTGGACAGGGTGTTCCTTCAATGAGGGCCCCGGGATGAGGATGCAGGGATACCAGCCCTGTCCCTGCTACGCTTGGCAGAATCAGGCCTGTCCTTCCCCACCCCGGCCCCTCTGGAGAGCTGCCCCTGCTTCACACGCTGCCCGGAAAAGCCTCTGTCTTGGTTCATCACTGCATGCCCAGTAGAGCGTGGCCCGTGCTCAGCCCCGTGAAGTCAGCTGTAACTTGGCCCATGCCTCCCATTTCACAGATGAGAAAGCAGAGGCCGGGAAAGGGGCAGGGACGCATCTGAGGTCCCCCTCCTGGCTAGCGGCAGGGCTGCAACTGCACCCAGCCCAGTCTGGGTCCAAAGCTGGCTCCCTGGTTCCTGCCAGCCAGGCACCGTGAATGGGTTCGGTGGGAAGGAGAGCCTGTGAATGATCCTCAGGTCCTCAGGCCCCGCTGCCAGGGGACACCAGCCGCTCCCCGCTGGGCTGCCCACCCCAGAGGACAGGGCCTCATCTGTCTTGCTCACTGCCACCACCGGGGCCTGGCCCGTGCGCGGTGCTCGGCAGCAATCTGCCGAGGGCATCAGTGACGGAGGCTGGCTTGGCCAGCAGGCGGGGGACGCCCTGGAGACCTGTCCGGTGGGACATGGGAGGCTTGCCGGCAGAGGGTCTCCTGGGAGTGGCCCGGGTGGGGCTCTGGCTGAAGGGGCCGGGAGGGGCTGTGGTGGGGACGGTGCCTTCAGAGAGGGGAGTGGGCCCCTGGCCTCAACCCCACATTTTGCCTGAACGGGAAGAAAACAGGAGGAGGGAAGCAGCCTAGGGAGGCAAACTGCCCCCAGCCGCCAGCCCGTCCCCATCACCAAGAAGCCCGCGCCGGGCCTTGCCAGGAGCCGGGGCCAGCAGCAGGGCCTGGAGAATAAACATGTCACCGCCAGGCCGGCCCGCCGGACCGCTGGAGCCAAGAGCCGCCGGAGGCTGTAAACAGTCTCTCCTCTCTTGGCTGCGGCCCCTGGCCCACCTCTCTGCGCTGGGAATTAGCACTTTGCCTGCCATAAAGAAAGGGCAGGCCAGGGTGGGGGCGTCTGAGGAGGGGGCGGTGGGCAGGCAAGCTGGGCGGGCCCGGGGCCAGCACCTCCATCCTCGAGGCTTGGAAACTTCCCCCTTTCTGGAGGAGATTGTGAATGAATGAGCGTGGTAAGGACGCGGAGGCCCAGCTGAGGCAGAGGTGCGGCGGCAGGCGGAAGGGCAGGCAGAGGGGCAGGGGAGGGGGAGGCCCTTTCTCCGGGGCCCCTGGCTTTGGCCAAGGGAGGTAGATGCTTTCTCCAGCTTGCCCCGAGTCCACCTGGGGCTTTCAGCTAGTCACACAAGCCCCAGGATACAGCCACCGTCTGCCCCGGGACAGCCCCTGCTGCTGGTGCAAATCAGGCTGACCTAATGCCTTCATTTTGGTTGTACTTTCCAGAACCATGAGGCTCCTCGTATGGCAAATCTAGCCACGTCACTCCCAGCTGAAACCCTTCAATGGGACCCCCAGTCGTAGCCCTGCCCGCCTCCTCAGCCTCCTCTCCAGACACAGCCTCCCCACCACGGGCCTCCCTCCTGCCTCAGGGCCTCTGCACATGGAACTCTTCCCTCTCCTCTTAGGCCTGGTCCACTCCCCCTTAGAGTTCAGACCTTGGATCAGCAGTCACTTCCTCCAGGAAGCCTCCCAGATGCCTCCACGAAGTTAAAGCCCCCCCTCCCCCGTTACCTACTTTCCTTGTACTATGACCCTCTCCTTCTGAGCCCATACCCCACCTACAAGCTCGCACTTGTGTGTGAGACTTGCTGACTCTGCTGTCTCTCTGCCACCAGACTGGAAGCTCCATGAGGGAGGGTCTGGGGCTGGTTCTGCGGAGCCCCGTGTCTCAGGTGCCAGCCATCACTGTACTTAACAGATCCTTGTGGAATGACCGAATTGGTGGATGAAGGAATGACCTAGAAAGGTCATCCAGAGCTCAGTTCAGATCCCCTCACAGGCTGTGATGCCTCTGTAGGCGGATCCCTGTCCCCCACTCCTCAGAGCTCCCCAGGGCTCCTGGCTCACAGGGACACCCCCCACCATTGTCAAGAGGACACGACGAGCTGCCCAAGCAGGAGGGGCACTGGGCAGGGGCCTTCATGGCTGCCACTCACCCCCACCATACAATGTCAGGGCTGTGGGGACGAACGGGCTAGAGAAAACAAAAGGAAGTGAGAAAAAAGTAAGGCTGTGAAGCCTGAGCTTGGACTTTGGCCAAACACGGGTTCAAGTCCTGGCCCTGCTGTGCAGCCTTGGGCCAGCGGTCTGATTTCTCTGGGCCTTCACAGCATTCACCTCTTCAAAGGCTGTGGGGAGGATCAAGTGAGCTCAGACATGTGTACATGTCCAACAGATGAGAACTTTTATGACTCATGATTTGGGCAAGCCATCTGCCCAGAACATTCTGGGGGGTTCAGGGGCTTTTCTCCAGAACGCCCCAGCCGAGGATTTTGACAGTCTGGACTCCAGAACTCTGGGTCTGTGGTCTACCACCCACCTAGGCCCTAGCCTGAAGACCCTGGAAGGAGCTGTAAGTGCAGAGCACCCCTGGCGGGCTGGGAGTGGGGCACCAGGGGCCCGGCCTGCTGTCACAGGGGATTAGGGGCTGCATGACCCTGCCCTCCCGGAGTTGGGCCGGCTGCCGAGGACACTGGAGTCCCAGGGAGGACAGCCCCATCCAGGGTAAGCTCCTGTGAGGAAGGGCATGGCCGGGGGAGGGGGGGGCGGGTTGCAGAAAGACCACAGTTCAAATCTCACCCCTTATACAAGGAGAGAGACCACGTCACGCCCACTGGGATGGCAAGAGGCAAAAAGACAAGCAGTCACCAGCACTGGTGAGGACGCGGAGCGACTGGAACCTTCACACACTGTGGGCGGGAACCCCAGATGGGGCAGCACTGCGGAGACGGTGTGGCAGGCCTCACACGACCCTGCGAATCCACTCCCAGGTACCGGCCCGACAGCAGGAAAACCCACCTACGAACGGTGCGCGGCCACCCAGACGCTGGCCACCGATGACCGTGGAAACGGACGGCGATGGAGCCACACGACGGAATACTACTCAGCCATAAGAAGGGGTAAAGACCGAAACACGCCTCAACACGGATGCCCTTGGCAATGTGAAAGACACCAGGTGATAAGGCTTTATTCACATCAAATTCTGGAACGGAAAGACCCAGAGAGGCAGAGTGGACAAGGGGTCCCTTTAGGTCTGGGGGTGGGGGGTGCGGAGTGACGTCCAACGGGGTTTCCATCTGGGGGTCGGGGGGTGCGGAGTGACGTCTAATGGGGTTTTACTCTGGGGGTGCGGGGGGTGCGGAGTGATGGCTAATGGGGTTTCCCTCTGGGGGGCGGGGGGTGCGGAATGACGGCTAATGGGGTTTCCCTCTGGGGGGGCGGAGGGTGCAGAGTGACGGCTAAGGGGTTTCCCTCTGGAGGGGCAGGGGGTGCAGAGTGACGGTTAACGGGGTTTCCTTCTGGGGGCGGGGGGTGCAGAGTGACGGCTAAGGGGTTTCCCTCTGGGGGGCGGGAAGGTCCTGCAGCAGACCATGGTGGTGGGTCCAAGGTCGTGAGACGCTAACAGCCACTGAACCGCGCGTGTCTGTTGAGTCGCACGGTATGGGAAGCCTATCTCAACAAAACTGGTACAGAGGAGACAACCCCACTCCCTGGCCTCGGTTTCCTTCCGGCGAAATGGACTTCACCCTCCTCTCTCCCCACTCTCTCCGGGTCCTGCAAGGCAGATCTGGGTGCCGTGTGCTAGTGGCCCCCCAGACTTTCCGTGGGCATTGAGCACATCATCACCTAGCCACGTGGGTCAGCTGTGCCCCCACCCCTGTCAGGTCCGCAGCCCTGGACTTTCTGGCTCTCGGGCGGCTCCCTCGTCCCATCCTAGGCCTCCCGTGCTCCGGCTTGCTGCCCTCACCTACACCTGCACTCTCCTGCACCTGCTCGCGCCCCGGCACATGGGCCCTTCACTAAACTCCCTGGGCCTTGCACACAAGCCTGTCCCCGCTGCGGTCAGGACCCCCACCTGAGCAGGCCTGATGCTCCCCCTTGCACCGCTGTAGGCCCAGAAAGGCCCACAGGTCAAGGCCTGGCCTACAAGAGGCTCTGTGTGGGTGGCCGTCTTGAATGGGGCGCTGGGAGGGACAGCTGAGGGGAGAGGCCAAGGGGTAGGGGTGCCTGGGGAAGAGGCAGGAGCTCAGGGAGAGTCCCCAGAGCCAGATGTGAACTCAGAGCTCAGGTGCCCCTGAGGACCTGCTGCCAGAGGAAAGGATGGGGACCAAAGGCACGAGCCTCTGGGGAGAAATCCTCTCTGGGGTGAACTGGGGCTGGAAGCCACATTCCCCAGGAACACACAGATGTTCTGGCCGAGGGTGGACGAGGAGGAGGAACTGGTGGGCGAGGGAGGCCAGGGCTGGCCAGCCTGCCTCCCCAGGAGCTGGGGCACAGCCAGGAGCCTGCAGCTTGTCGCCAGGGTGGCCGTGGGACAAGGCCTGACCCCTGGCCTCCAGCTCCCCCGCCCAGGCCAGGCTTGGCTCCACTCTGGGCCTGGGGGGACCACATGTGGGTCCAAGGAGGGTACCTCGGTGAAAACAGACAAGGGAACCAGTGTGATTTCTGTTAGGCTCCACATGGAGGTCCCCGGTGTGGCCAGGAGTCGCCTCCAGGACCACGGGCACCTTCCAAGGGACACACAGCTTCTCCGGAGAGGGCACTCTTGGCTCTCAGAGTGGGGGGTGGGGGTGGCGATTCCTTCTTGTGGGTTCTTCTGAGGACGGCAGGGAGCTGAGGATGCTGGTGGCCCCACATATCATGGGACACGTGACAACTAAGGAAACCCCACATATTTACAAATCTGACAGGGTGGGGACGTTGCCCCCGCTGGGACCCACACCTTGGTGTGGAGCCATGTGGGAAGCGTCGGCTTCCTACCTGCATCAGCACCTCCCGCTCTGGGGGCCCCCAGCTCCCCACAGCCCAGCAGCGGCTCCCTGGCCCCAGGAGCCAGGTTGAGGCCTCAGCAGGCCCCTCGTAGCCACTTGGGCCATGGTGTCGTGGAGCATTCCCCAGCCCTCGGTGGGAGGTCCCCTAATTCCAGGGACCCCAGCACTCGGGCCCCTTCCTCAGAAGGTGCGGATTCCAGGGCTCCTGGGTGGCTCAGTCAGTTAAGCGCCTGCCTTCAGCTCAGGTCATGATCCCAGGGTCCTGGGATGGAGCCCCGCATCGGGCTCCCTGCTCAGCAGGAAGCCTGCTTCTCCCTCTCCCGCTCCCCCTGCTTGTGTTCCCTCTCTCGCTGTGTCTGTCAAATAAATAAATAAAATCTTAAAAAAAAAAAAAGAAGGTGTGGATTCCAGAAGGCAGTGGGGACTGGGGCGATGGTTCTGGGACCAGGGGCAGCTGGCCAGCCCCTCCCTGTCCAGGTCCTGACACCTGCATGCGCAGGCAGGTCGGTTCTGGAATCCAGCTCTCCTCACATTGTGTACTGGGGAGCTGATGGTCACCAGGGCGTGGGAGGGAGGCCTGGAGGGCAGCTCCCCATACCACCTGCCCCAAGCGTGGTTTGGACCCCTAACACCCACTGGGACCACCATTTCCCTGAAATGTTCCTTCTTATCAACTCATTTTTAAAAAATATTTTATTTTTAAGTAATCACTACGCCCAACGTGGGGCTCAAACTCACAACCCTGAGATCAAGAGTTGCACGTTCTATGGACCAAGCCAGCCAAGCATCCCCTCATCAACTCACTTTTTAAAAACCTTTTAAAGAGTTTTTTAAAAGCCAGTATCGTTCACCATCCACAGATGGTAACTTAGTATATCTAGGGATTTGATGCTAAAGTTCTACCTTCTTCATCCTCAATTCTGAAATCCAAAAGGGTCTGAAAACTAAAAAGCACTGTCATGGGTTTGTGGTAAATTTTATGTTACATCCATTTTACCACAATTAAAAAAAAATACTGCGGTTGAACGAGGCACCAGCCCTGAGCCGTCTCCTTGCAGTAAGGCTAAAGGCAGAGTCAAAAAAATACAATTTCCTCTCCATGTGATTCACGGTCAGTTAGGGCCGCATCTACAGGTCCCTTAACGGAAGTCACCCCGTGTGACAGTGCGAGCCCTCAGCTGGGCAACACCGACCCAAGGGACAGGGCTCGGGGCCCAGAGACCAGGGCCCTGAGTTCAGGTCTGGCCTTCACCCTGGACAGCTGTGTGACAGGGGGCCAGCCCAATGACCCCTCTGAGCAGTTTCCTTGTTTCCCTGCTCCTGACACAGAGAGGACGGGCAGCCGCTGGGACAATGAGACCGAAGCCCTTGGGAAAAAGCTCCACATTTATTAATTAAACCCATTATAACAAGATGACAGTAAACCACTGTGTCATTGGCCTGGCTGCTTGACGTAAGGTAAGGGAAGACACCCAAGGGTTCTTTCAAGAGGTCCCTGCCCCGAGGGACCCCGGAGCCTCATAGGGAAGGATAAAATTGGCCCGCAAGGACAAGCACCTGCTAGTGACAAAAATGAAACCCAAGTATATCTGAAGGTGGAAGGAAAGGGGAGGAAGAGAGTGACAAGGTGTCAGGGAGCAGGCAGGGAAGAAGGTGGGACTGTCCTCAAACGGCAGAGGGAAGGGTGACAGTCCTAGCTATTTTTACTTAGGAGAAAACAGAGCAGGGCAGAGTCAGATAGAGCAGGTGGTCACAGCCCCCAGCCTAGGAGCCTGTCTCCAAGCCCGGCTTGTCCCATCCCCCGGCGGCCGTCCATGCTCAGACTTACGCAATAGCCTCCTCCCTGCTCTCCTGGCTACCACCCGGGCCTGCTTCACCTCTGGTCACATCGTGCTCTGGCTCAAACCCCTCCCCGCTGCCCACTGCCCGCGGCGAGGTGGGCAAAGTATGCCCTCTGGACAGAATGCCCTGTTTCATCCTTTTTGGATCCCGAACTCCCAAACTTAGATCTCAGAGAGAAAAATCTAAGAGGCCCGAACTCCGAGTTCCTACCTGAAACGCTTTCTGACAGACAAAAAAAAAAAGAAAACCAAAAATGTGTATTTACACAGAAATGAAGGAAGGGAGTCTTGAACAAACTTGCCTCTTTTTGCGGTTAAGCCAGGAGACCTTTGAGAGAACACACAGCAGGACCCTCTGTTACGTACTCTCAATGCCCCACCAGGGGACAGAAGGAACCCCACACCCCAGCTCATACTTTGCCCATCCAGAGGAGGCCCGGCCAGGAAGGCAGTGCAGAGACCCAAGCCCAGAGAGCAGGGAGCTGGAGCATGGGGGTGCCGGGAGGTGGGGGGCGGTTCTCTGCAATGCTCCTCAGTGGCGTCCAGGGTTTTCGGGGGGAGAAGCCCACAGCACCTCTAAAGCCGCCAGGTCCTCCTACAGGCGGAGCAGTCGGCACTCCTCCCCAGGCCAGGACTCTGGCCAGCAGGACTCGGGGCCACCTCCTTCCCAACCCCCCCGTCGGCCGCCACTTCTTCCCCAGGCCCCAGCAGATGCGCCTGCCCTTTTCTATCAAGGGACACGCAGGCTCCTTTCCTGGATGTTCTGTGGGCCTGAGGGTTACGGCAGAGAGGAGGGACGAAGGGGGGCAGGAGACTACAGGCCCAGAGCAGCAGGGCTGCCCTCCCGGGAGGTGGGACCTCTCTACAGGCAGACGCACGCCCCAGGAACGGGAACAGGAGCAAGGACCCCTATGGCCTTGCCTGAGCATCCCAGCATGTGACGGGTCCCCAATCACAAAGGTACTCTCGGCAGGAGGTAAAAACTGATGTCTTCTTAGAGAAAGCAAATTTCGTAGGTCATCGATTGCATCTAGAAAGTGCCCTACGCACTCACCACACATCAAAGGCACAGGAGAGACACACTTTAAGACAACCACGCTTGCCTTCTGCTCCGCGCAGAGCCTAGGGCCAGCCCCGGGCACGCCCCCCTTGTACCCCGGGCCTCGGCCTCTCAGCCTGAACAGGATGGGGGCCCTTAGAATTTTCCAGCTCTCCAACCAGGAGACAGAGGCACTCGATTAAGGGGCTCGCTCCAAGTTGACACGGAACGGGGACACCATGACCAGGTTCTTGACCTGCGTGACACGTGGCCTTGATCCAGAGAGAAAACTGCCAAAGGACCCGGCGTACAGGGGTATTTACTTTAGCCCTGCCTAGGGCC